GAGAGGAGGTAATGTCACGGTTGTAGGTGTGTGTGCACTTCTGAGTGTCTGTCTGGTCACATGGTTTTGTTTTGGTGTTCCATGTGTCTGTCGTCAGTGTTTTTGTCACGTGCTATGTAGAGCCCCGCTGTCCTGATTAGCCTGCCAGCTGCGACTTGTTAACTTGGCTATATCTGGGCAGCGTGTCTCTTGTCTCGTGTCAGTTCGTTAATTCTCTGCTGATCATTCTGTTTGTGTTTAGGACTGGCGTGGAGTCCTTTTCTGAGACCTAGCTTCTCGGTTCCCTGTCTGTTTTCCTGATCCTCGATTGAGTCGAATACATAGTTTGTTTTTGTTTGTTTATTTCTTTCTGTGTGGACTTGTGATACTATATTGACTGCGTCAATAAAGTATTTTTACTTGCATTTGGGTCCTTCCATTACTTATATACGTTCATAACAGTGACCTTGCATTGTTTTTATGTCACTTCTTACGTGTGTTTGGTTTTGAGAGACGTAGTTTGTGGATTGAGTGGATTCCTATTCTAAAGTCATGCAATGTGAAACCCCCTGCCGCTGATCCATCTTGCAGTGTAAACACAGCAAAGACGAACTGCTACCCCCGATAGTCATGCAGTGTGAAAACATCTGTGACACGACTGCTTTGAAAATCGTGCAGTCTGAACTCTGCATTTCTGAGATATTGGTTACTGCTTATGAGTACTTATAAACTACATATTCTGCATGATTTTATTAGATGTCCCTAATCCTACAAAATTCCTGAAATACCCTATTAATAAGGAGCTAATTAGGAGTTTATTGAAGTAAAAGTCATAGTTACTTGATTGCTAATATAAAGAATTGAACCCTAAAATAAAATGTGAACATATATTCTTTCTAAATAGTGCTATTACATCATTTGGTGTCATTGTAGTGCTCCCAGGACTAAAGCCAATATAAAGATGCTGGACTTTTGCACTACGTACACATGTACCAATGAGCAAACAAAACAAAAAAAAACAAAGCATAAAGGCAAAATATTTCATAGGTAAGATTTTTTATTTTTTTGCAATTTTGTATGTTACAAACTTTTGTGCTAAACAAATGACGTTATTGATGATAATAAAGTTACTTACTGCATTCATCATAAGGCAAAAGAGCACCAATCTGCACTAAGTTCTAAGCTTAGACTGTAGGCGACATCTAATGTCAATATCTAAGAATGTAAACTACAGAAACTTGCAACATCATGTGCATATTACGTTTTCAGTTTATACACTAATGTGTAAACCCCTGTTTTAGGCTAGTCATGCGCGAGTACTTGACAACCAAGACAGCATAGTGGACAACAGGACAGGCATATAGTGTTTCTACAAAGTGTCATCGTCAGCTACTGCCCTTGTCATGCATAATACAGTGTCTTTAGTCACGTTCACTCATCTCTATGAACAGGGTTCATTTTAAAACATTTGAAAAATACCAATGAATGATTTTGAAATTTGCGTAGATGCACACTAACGTGTTAAAATTATTGTACATTTGTAAATTCTCAAGGTTTCTTATCCGCAAATTTGATAAAAGGTCTAAAAGTGCTCTACAAACTGTTGGCTAATGAGTGGTTAATCAGAAACAGCAATCCTGTTTCCAACAGAGACCAAATAAACAGCTAGACTCAAAAATGCCAGGAATTCACTCGTAATCAGGACAATGACATATAATGACAACAATTCTCACAGCCTGTATTAAACATGAACAAGACAATTGGACAGAACTACTAAACTATTGATTTTCCTGTGGTACTCGATCAAACACACAAACAAAAAATCCAACATGAAGACAACATGTCATTCATTCTCAAACACACAGACTTGCACACATACACACAAGCCACATGCAATGCTCACTGTGAATCATGTGATGGAGGGGTAGTCAGACAACCCTTTTCTATTTCCTTCATATTTTATTGACTTAATTCAGACAAAATTCAGGAATTATGATAAGTATGGGCTTTTCCTCTCTAAAGACCTTTATTAAAACCTCCTGTGTAGTCACTACACTCCATTATAAGGGGCATATTTTATGCAAGGTCCGCTTATCCACCTTATATCTTATGTAAAAACGAGAGCATCCATTTGCATCTTGAATGAGCAGGGCTGTCATTTCCTTTCAGTTGTTTTCGCTTTACAAAATCCAACACAGGCTCATTGGAAATATGTGCTTTAGCCAACATTTTTGTGAAAAATATACTTTTGACTGCATTTTCTATGTAAAAATAAAGCTATTGGGGCAGTATGAAGCCAACAGCTTTAGTTCTTCTGCTGAGTGATGACATTTACATGGACAAACTATTCATAAAAAGGTGTTTTCACCTTTATTTAATTGGACTATATAAAGGAAAACATTGGGAGCAGAGAGAGAGGCGAAGGATCGGTAAAAGACCTCAAGCTTGGAGTCGAACTTGGGTCTCTGTAAGCACCTTAGTGTTGATGCACAAATAGGATATGGGATATTGGAGCCGATCATTTTTTTCTATTTTTTTTGTGCAAATCTTTGCACAATGCCAAATAAATACAGCAATAAACCTAACTGTGTCTATGATGTGTAATCACGTTTGTTTGCCTCACCTATCTATCTCCATATGGACATCATAGCCAGTTTGCTCAATAGCTTACCTTGTATAGTATTGTACTTGCGATTCAGAGCTCTCAGATTTCAAGTCAGGTAAAGCACAGTTCCACAGTGAGATAAAAAAAAAATAATGTAAAATCAATGTAAAACTATATGGTCACAGTGCATTTTTTCTCTTCCATTTGATTTTAAAAACACTATTAGTTGCATTTAATGAAGAGTTTAGTTCAGTAGTTTGCTGATCTAGGAGAGTGATCTGTATGACAAGCCACGCCTTTCCACTGACATGTACAAGAAGGATGTATTGGAAATGTACAACAAAATGTACCTAAGGTAGCGCATTTGAAATTTGCAAAAATGTGGACAGTGCACTTTAGTGGATTTGTCAATTGAAACGTGTAACAACATACCCTGAGAAACATATTTCATGTTTTGTTAAACTGTAGGCTGAGACATATATTTACAATGAGCCTGGAATGACAAAAACAGTCTAGATTGCAAACTGTTTTAAGTAAAAATAAGATGGACAAAATTAGATACATTAATTTATTGTTCCTGCTGCAACTGGAATTATAAAGAAATGTTGCTTTCTCTGCTCTTTTCTTCTACAACAAGCTCTTTGCAATGGCTTCTCTCTCAAAATTTGATTGCAAGTCCTGGAAACCTAAGGGAGTCATTTGGTTAAAGAATGTGGCTGTCAATCTCTATCCTCACCAAACCATGTATGTACAGAACCATATTTAGCACTCCAAACAAGACTGACAACTGTAATTCTGCAGCTCTGTGAAAGTTACCTTGGAATCCACAATAAATGAAGATATTTTATATGAAGGGACCTTCAAAATGAAATTTAGCCTAGTTTAAATTTGCAATCTTGATGAAGGATCTGCAAAGTTATACTGCTAAAGCACTCTCCTTTTTACCTCTATGAATGGTTAAAAGTCAAACCCAGTAGACATCACTGATATGTAAATTCTGTTTTCAACACTGGCCATATTTGTATCTTTCACAAGTTGGAAAAGAAAGTGTTCTGAAAGTTTTTCCAACAATAATAATGTTCCTCTGTGCCATTATCATTATATGGATATTGCTATTCTTCTATATTATTGATAGTTCACCTAAAAATTAAACTTCTCTCATCATTTACTCACCTTTCACTGGACATGTTTCACAAACCTAATTGAGGGCCTACTCACACTTTGCCATCCGAACCGTGCCCAGGCCCGTTTCCCGGATCGTTTGAGAAGTGTGAGTGCACTGAATCGGGCTCAGGCACGGTTCACTTGGCCGGCCCTGACCCGGTTGGAAGAGGTGGGCCTGAGCACGGTACGTTTGTAGTGTAAGTGCAAAACGCGCCAAAGCCCGAAACTGAAAGTGAGACGTGACTTTTAGGGGACTGTTTCATATGGATTTATTAATCATTCTTACTGTTCAGTGAACACAAACTGCCGTAGATTATTAAAGACGCAAACCTCTCACTGCACGACAGCTGCGCGCCTTCAGCAAACCTCTTCATTTCTGCAGCACGAGGGCTTTATGATTGTTTAAGAGCGCCAAAAGTGGCGGATCTGTTCGGCGAAATATCTGACTGCGTGTCACCGCATCCCTAAGGACTGTTTGGCGAAATATTTGACTGCATGTCACTGCATATCAAATGACTAAAACGATATAACTGGAGAAATCTCCACTGTGAAGTGAGAGCACTTCTCACTGAACAGCGCAGCATCAATGACGTAATCGTGCCCAGGCCCGATTGTGGTGTGAGTGCGACAAGACGTACAACAAGACGTACCCTGAGAATCATGTTTTAAGTCTTGCAAAAATGTATGAGACTTGGCTACAATGAGCCTGGATTGACAAAAGCATACATTGCATTGTTTTTTTAAACAATTGTTTGCACTGCACACAGTTTTAGGTAAAAATAAGATGGACAAAATGGAATATTTTTTGTTTTTTTTCTGTTGCATCACTTAAAAATATAACTTTCTTAGCTCTATTCTTCTACAACAAGCTCTTTGCAACGACTTTTCTCTCATAATCTGATTGCAACTTCTGAAAACCTAAGGGAGTCATTTGGTTAAAGAATGTAGCTGTCAATCTCTTTCTTTACCAAACCTTGTATGTACAGAACCATATTTAGCACTCCAATCATGACTGACAACTTTAATTCTACAGCTATGTGAAAGCTACTCTGCAATCCACAATAAAGTTAAGATGTTTTACAGTTTTAGTTATAATCTTAGCAATGAATGGGGCTTTAAACTCAACATATCAAGGAAAATTGATTAATTGTGACTGATTGTCATCTAAAAATAAACCCAAGCTTTGACTGTACATCCTTTGACTTAACTTTTTAGGCAAAATGTCAAGAAGTTGAAGAGTCAGGTGCCTTACCTTTCCTGTACAGATTATCAGGGTCTTTTTCCTCAGCTTAATACACTTCCTGAGCCTACAGATCTGATGGTCTGTTTTTTGGTTTAGGCAACTTCTGCATTCCCCACAGTTGACCTTGCATTGGCAGGGTGCGCAAACACCACAGTGACCTCTCTTGTTCTGTTCCCTTCTCTGTTGATCTTGAAGTAAACGAAGCTGAATATCCTCAACTTGAGGAATAGACTTTCCTGAAGTCCTGTGCTCCAGAACTAACTCTGACTCGCTGTCAAATGAGGACTGAGTGCTTTCTGTGCTGCTGGAGAGCAACGCTGTTGCCTGAGGCCCATGACCCATCTCACAAAGAGTAGTGTTGTAAATGGCTGCGCTCAGCGAGAGGAGAGAAAGCGCTCCTTCTTTCTTCATCAACATTTCAGCATCAATACTTTCATCTTTGGTGTCCACATCAGCAGTGCTTCGTAACTCAGTTTCTTCAATCTGGGGAGCATCTGCAATGTTTTCAAGTGCTGGTGAGTCATTGGATGATTGACAAACTTGATTTGGCAAACTTGATTCGGCAGTCTCACCTTCTTCTGTAGAGTTTCCTCGAGTGGTCTGAAGAGAGATGTCTTGTAAGTCCACTGGTGGAAGTGTGGGTTGAATGGCCTCAACCTGATCTGAAGGGGAGGGAGTTGGTGGGCCTGAGGTATTATTGTTGTAGGCAAAGTCCACATTATTGACAGGGTTGTGCTTCAGAGGATCTTGCTGATCCACCAACACCGTGTTTGGCTGCTCAACAACAGCAGAATAGCTTTCACTTTGAACAGTTTCTGTGTTCACTTTTACCTTCTTCTTCTCTGCCACTAAAGTGTCATTAACAACAGTCTCTCTGTGCTCCTCCCCAGATTCTTTAGAGCTTATGTTGACGCTCTGTCCCTCTCCAGTGGGAATTTCAGCACCTTTTTGTTGTTCAGCATCATCATTAGGATCATTCACTTCTGACCTTTTAGTCTCAGTCTCCTGTTCCCTGATCTCCTGAGCTCCCTTTTTCTGAACATTCCTTTGGATGCTCGGACATGAGACACTCTTTCTAGGTGACTTCCCCTTCCCATTACATTCCAACAATAAGCCATTTTGGTTCAAAGAACTAGTCGTGTGTCTGGATATTTTAACAGGTAGAACATCCTCAACAGTCTTCTTGTTAGGCTTGCTGACAACAGTCCTCTGGGCCCTCTTGGCCGCCTGTTTCTTGTCTATGCCCTTCTTGATCTCACCACTGGCTTTCAGTGAGTTGATTGTTTGCCTCCTTGTTATGGAAGCCTTCACCCTCTTAACATTTCGCTTTGTGGATGCACGAGTTGACTTCTTGGGTGCTTTGGCAGTACGAGGCATAGCTGAAGTGAGTGAGGGTGAGGGAGGAGGAGTTTGGGATAGCCGGCATGAGAAACAGTATTGAGGCCGTTTGAGAAACTGTAATTTTCATGTAATGCTCCCTGTTTGAAGTAAAATCAATGTTGACATATGTACATATGGGTACCTGTGGAAAGAACCATTTATTACTGAATTGTGTAGCAAGATGTAGCATCTCATTAAAGATCACTTGAAATATAGGGGGGTTGTGAATTGTAGTCCATTCTGATGCCCTAACATATAATAATATATTCATAAAATTTAGCAAAACACAGGTTAAATTCATTGATTTGAACATAAACTTTGAAGTTTTGGGCCGGAACACACCAAGACGATTGTTGGTCATTGGGCTTTGTTGGTTCATGGGTCAGTGTTGGTCTGGTGTGGACCATATGTCGCCCCTTGTTGGGTTAATGTCAGAGCTCCTTGACCCAATTAAGCATGTAGAATCGGAGTCGGGTCATCGGCTAAAGGGAACACTCTAACGCTGTGTTCACACCAGATGCGGAATGCGCAAATAAATAGCACTATTCAAGCGTAAATAGAAGTGTGAACGTTTTGAGTTTACTCGCTTCAAATTTGCACATCAATTCGCTTTGTTAGCGCACCAAACTCACTTCACAAAAGACACAGATAGGCGTCATGAGCAGGGCTTCTGCCTGCCCGGTGACTCTAGCTTTGTTTCTAAATAGCTGACATGGATTTTATTAAGAGAATAGCTGTGTGCTTAATGTGCTTTAGGAAGGCTAATAAACAGCTTGATTTGTTTGGCGCCGTGTCTGAGTGCACTAGATCCACAGAGGTGCACCCAGCTCTGTGGCTTCGTCAACTCCTCCAGAAATTATATCTGGAAGATGGAAGCTTTCAGTGCTTCTGACTGAGTCGAGCCCAGTTTGGTGAACTGTGCCCGGTGTCGGCAAGAGGATTTTCCCTCAGGACACCAACAGGCGCTACGTCATAATCACGCCCCTACAAGAGAAAGCTTCTGATTGGTTAAACGTCCCACAGGATGTCGTTGCATTGACTTAACATATAAATCACTCTTGCTTGACGCTTCATCCGCACCTGGTGGATGATAACTGGTTATTCAACAAATCAGAGCGCGAGTTTGACATTCTGAAGTGATGTAGCAAGTTAACAATTCAAGTCATAAAAAAAGAGGCCTGATGTAATTTCACTATATTTCTCAAATATTTCTCAAATAGTTTAATGAATTTTAACAGTAAAGTATGTTCTGTATTTTTACAGTTTTTGCACGTAATTTTGTAAAACGGTTATTTTCTGTAATTTAACAGAACATCTTTGGAAACTCTGCTGGCAGTCTTTTGACCATTTTTTACAGTTTTTTTTTAAGTGTATTTAATTAGTTACTCCACTAATTATGGACTTGTTGTTTATTAATTTAGCCTTGGACCAACAAAAAATCAAACAAAGACAGGATTTTGAAAAGACAAATCATAATCATCATTAACGAAGATTTATAAATAATTAGCCTAGTTCTTTTATTTCATTTTTATCTGTTAAAAAATAATTTTAGTTAATTGTACTTTATCACTCGACTCGATTTTAGCCTTTCTCATTTTATGCTATTATTTGCCTTTGTGTTGTTATTGTAGTCCTGATAAGTTTCCTTTCTGTTTCATACCTGCTTCTATGTTGCCTCTTGGCCAGGTCGTTATTATAAATGAGATCTAATTCAAAATTTACCAAACTGGTTAAATAAAGGTTATTATAAATGATTAATTCGTGGCTGAAACTGTTTTATGGATAGTTATTTTCAATTAATGTACTTTAACAGCACTAAAAAGTAAGTTATGAAAGATCAGGTTGATTTATAACACTGATAATGCTTTATTATTGTCATAATAATTGTGCCAATATTTAGAGAGCTCAGGAATTTACCAGTGCCTGAATCTGTGTACAACACAGAAGTATGATCTAATTGAAAACTAATTGAGATACACCTGATGACTTATAATGTCCTACACTATATACATTTTCAGACACTTCCTAGACAGAAACATACCCATGCCACCTGCACGGCATAGCATATAGGAAGTCATGATTCATGTCAGTTATGTAAACCAAAGGCCTCAGGCTGAATAGTTTTTAAAAGTCAGTTGACATGTTTCAAACAATTACATAATATCAGTAAGGAATTCAGTGTTCAGCAAGCCATTAAATTGCATCCACTTTAACCTAAAGTTTTGTAATGTAACCCACACAGTAACTAGGTCATCTAACAGACAATGGTATAATGATGTCTGGTTTGCTCAAAAGTGTTCAAACTCTGACCAGTTTAAAAAGTATTTAAGTTAAAAAAAGTGACGTTATTACATAGAGCAAATTTTATGCAACGTGACGTCTTTACAAGCTCACAAATACTTTAGCGACAGTATCTGTAAAAGGTAAATACCAGTGCTTAATAAACTATACCTAGTAACAAGTGTTAAAGGGATCAAAGGAATCAAAACTTAATAATCTGCCGCCATGTACTTGGAAGTTTCTTCTGTTGAACACAAGAGAAGATATTTTGAAGAATGCTGGAAACTGGTAACCATTGACTTCTATTTTGTAGAAGATTTTCCTACTATGGAAATCAATTGTTCCAGGTTTTTAGCGTTCTTCAAAATATCTTCTTCAACATTCAACCAAATAAAGAAACTCATAACGGTTTGGAACCACTTGAGCTTAAGTAAATAGAGAGTACATTTAAATTTTATGTGAACTATCTCTAATCCTTTTAAATGTTTTTGGTGGTATCCACTTTATTTTGACATGTACAATGTCTGTACTAGAGATGCTCCGATCGATCAGCCGGAGATCGGTATCGGCCGATAATCACATTTTATCACTCGATCGGTGTTCGATAATCTGGACGATCACATAAACCGATCACAAGTGTTCGTTTTTGGATTTACAAGCAAAGCAAGATGCATTTCAACTTCTTATACTTCAAATGTTCTAAACACTCTAAACTTTTTCTTCACTGAGGTACGTGGGGCAGTTTAGCTGCTCTGCTCCCCGCCTTTAGAACTCACTACCACCTGCCATCAGAAACATTGACTCCCTTACATTATTCAAAACAAGCCACTAATTTAAGATGGCTTTTAATACTTAATTGTATCTGCACTATTGTAGTGTATACTTTTATATTATTGCTTATGTTTTTTTTGCTCTTGTTTTATTGTACGGTGTCCTTGAGTTGTCAGAAAGGCTTTTTTATATCAAATGTATTTTTATTATTATTATTATTATTATTATATGTTTCCAAATTGCACTTTTAGTCATTTTTATGTCTAATCTGTTATTTTCTCTAAAGCTGCTCCTGACTATGATGTGTTCACAATAAATGGTTTTAAGAGAAGCAAGGTTTTCGCTAAATTCACACCAAAATTCATCCCTCCACGGCTCAGGGCTGATAGTGGAAAAAATTCCTGAGCCTGAACTTTTTTTCCTTGCCCCTGAGGTGAGTAGGGGTGGGGGTACTATGTATGCAACGCACTTTTAACACATAACTTGTGGGCCCCTTGGCCCAAATATATTAACAGCCTATGTGTAACCCTGATCATCATTATTGTCAAGTGGCTCTTTTTAGACACATGCCAGTAATGTCAGTGACACATGCCAGTAATGTCAGTGACACATGCCAGTGTCAGTGATCTTGTGACATGTGCCAGTAGGTGTCAGTATAAGCACGTTATAAGCACATTAATCTTATAAGTCTCTTTGCTTTAATATTTAAAAATCATTAGGCAAATGACACCTGTTATCTTACATGCATATATGTTATGAGTTTTCAACATGCATTTTATTATAACTTTTTAAAGGATATTATTTAAAATACCTTAAAATGAAAAAAAGTAAATAATAAAATAAATGAATGAATTAAAAACATAGAGAAGTCCATATTGTAGGGAACAAAGGAACTGCCAGGATGCAATAATATACAGTACAACAGATAAGTGTAACCCCTCCCATACATAAGCATGCCACAATAAATTTGACTGACAAGTACTGTCAAATGACTATATTACGTACAGAAGTATGACTACGAATACATAAAATAAATGCGTTTAAATTAAAACATCGTGGAGTAGCTCAGCAAATAAACTAACTTGCGACGCTATAAATTAGGTTAAAAGTCGCGTAATGATTAAATATGGTTTTGCTTGTGTTAATTAATGTCATGAGCTTCGCCGGGTGTCGATGTCACTGCAGTGACCTGCAGCGCGACACTCTGAGTGACACAGGTCACTACACATGCCACTAGCGAGTGACACATGACAGTGGAAAACCGAAAGTGTCACTACACTCAGTGGCATGTGCCAGTGTCATCTGTACGTCAGATGTCGTGTCACTCCATGTTAAAACTGCTACTGTGAATCCGCGTTCAAGCGCACACAATAAGCTAAAACTCGCCCCAAGCACCGGCAAAAACAAATAACAATGAATGTGTCGAGGAAAGAGTAAGGACATATCTTAATTATTTATTAATAAACTTATTCTGAGTCAGTGTCGCAAAGATCCTGACTGGAAATCTCCTCTTGGACTCGCCTTTAGAAAGAAATTCATCTTTACGGATTACATGAAGGAGTTTTTTTGTTTTCGATTTGTTTTATTTCGTGAAGTAATAATTTAAAGCTTTCTATAAATATATTTATTATGTCTGTGAGGCATATTGCTTCATTTTGTTAAGCGCTCCTGTTCAAAAACCAGACGACAGAAAGCGCATAATTTTGGTTTTCTTTATTTTATAAAAACGCTGTAATGTTTTTTGATGTATTACTCGTACTTTGTGAGCAAAAATGACGGATAACTTTAAATTGTCCCACTGAAAAAATGCAAGTGATTGCTCTGGCGCCTCGATGTCCTGCAAGCTTTTTATAAGCAAACTATGCGCCTAATAGCACACATTCTTTAACGTTTAAGCTACCATTGTTTTATACTTGAACTGTTTTATATCTTTTAAGTCGTGATGATCTGAGAAGGCAAACTGATCAAACAGACAATGATGGTCTTCCGCTGGGCGCTGTTCGTTAAAAAAAAAACCTTATTTTTAACGAATAAAAAAATGCTCCAAACGTTTTTCTAAATAAGCTGAATAAAAAACGAAACTAAATATAAACACTTTGCCATTAGGCTACATACAAAACTGAACTATTTCATAGCTGAAACACTAAGTTGTTTAAGGAGAAGGGGGAAATATATTTTTGTCCCGTCTATTGCTTCACCGTTATTTCGAGAATAAACCCAGCGTATGTCATTCCCAAAACATATCAGCGTATATGTGCCGAAAACGAAAGTTTCATACAAATTCTGAATGGATTATAGCCTGGAAAGTGCAAAGCACGCTCCTCTTGTTATCACTAAAAAGCGTCACTAATCTTAGTTCATAGAGATCTCACAAAGATCTGTTATAATTTATAAAGCTCTCTAAATTACACAATGAATCTTTTATTTACATGGCGTCTACACTCAAAAGATGATTCACGAGCACACAAAATGGCACTTAATAAAAACCAGTCCGCCGCTTTCAGCAGTGAGTGAATTCTGTGAATCTAGAGAAATGACAGATCAATATCCGTGAACCTGATTTTTTTTCCCCGCAGCCACAGTACGTGGTGCCGGAACGCTATCACCCCTGACGGCTACATTACAGCATCTCATTTAAAACATTCAGTCGTTTTTTTAATAGCGGGTTATAATCGCACCAAAACCTATTAAAAGGTAAATAAATTATAACAGCGCAAAATTTTCAGTAACCGTAGTGGTGTTGTGCGCTACTTGTTTAACTCTTAAAGGTTAAGTGCTGACTGACTGATAGGTGCATGATGCGTGAGGCTAGCAAACACGATGTAGCTTTCAGTTATGATTAACAGTTTCCATAATTATACTTTATAGATAAAGGTCTATGGCTCTGCAAATTATGACTTTATCTTGCTGGAGTTTATTGCCATTTCACTTTACTTACGGATGCATTAAACCCCTCTGTAGGTCTATTAGAGACATACATAAATATTCCTAGCAAATCTTATAAATGTTTGAGACATACTTGTTACATGAATGTACAAAACCGCACTTCAGCAGCGTTTATTTGAGAGCGCACAAGAAGATCTGCGCTTGAGCAGCATATATTTGAGGGCGTGCAAGAAGTTAAAAAGAAAAAAGAAAAAAAAAGGCCTGCCGCCACGGCTGGAAAAAATCCTAGAGGAAACACTAAGATGTGTTTGAGCGATTATTTGCAACATCCTTAATTTATTCTCTAAGGAAAGCAGAGATCTCCACTTAAGTGTCATACTAAGAGGGAAAAAGTGCTTTATGCAATGTTAAAGTTACGTTATATAAAGCTTGAAGCATCAGAATTGATATTCGGTATCGCCGATTACCATGAAGAGAAATCGGTATTCAGTATCGGCTCCAAAAATCCTGATCGGAGCATCCCTAGTCTGTACTAGGCATGGGATGATAACAGTTTTCAAGGTATACCACAGTTTGGAAACGTCAAGGTTTTAAAACTGCCATAACGTTCTGTAATACCGTTCCTAAGGAACGTGTATGATTTTTTTATTTACATTTTTTTTAGGACAACATTATCTTCAGCTGAAAAAAATTCCAAAGATGCCATTTTAAATGGTAAAGAAATCTGTTTTTGAAACTAATAAACACAGCAGTAGTCAGAAGTGAATGTTTACTGTTCCAAAATATTATAAATCTTTCAAAATATATATATATTGTTTTCAAAGTGGATTTTTCTTTACCCAGACATTTAAAAAGGATATATTTAGAGCAGTAATTGCAATACGGTGATACAGTGATATTTTTACCCATTTTTATCCTATTAAATATGAAAGTATATGAATATAATTATTATTAAGTACCATGGTTCTTATAGCAAGACATATTCTAACTGCCTGTAGTTACAGGTTCATTGGCTTTGATTGTTTGTTTACATGTCAACCAGAACTCTCCTCAAGTGTTTTGACACCTGCCATGTGTAAAATGTAAACAGAAATTAGGGAATTGTGAAGTGTATTTGTTGTGACAAGTGAATCTAAACACACTCACATAAGTTTACACACTAGTCCTGTCTCAAGTTAAGTAAACTCCCTACTTAAAAGTCATTTTCGTGTGCGTGACAGGCTCGCGCAGAAGTGCGAGTCACGCGCCTACTATGCAAAAAATACTGGTCAAGTAATTTAGGGAACTAACTAGGTTTGCGTCAGCCGTCGTGGCTGACTAATCGCTTAACTAACGTTCACACACATTTCTCTCTACCAATAATTTGTTTCAGTTTCAGTTAGTTTTTTTGCTCCACAAACTTTTAATTGTGATACAAATCAAATAATAAAGAAGAGGGCTTGCATTCTTAGGGTTGCCGTATTGTTATGATCACTTTTTAGGGAGTTGAAATACTTTACATACCGGAGAGACAGATGCACTGTCTGAAGGGCTAATAATATTCCCCGCCTGTACACGACAGATCCTCCAGCATTTCTCTTCGATGGATCTTCGCTAGAAAAGACTGAACAGCGTCTTCATAATATAGCATTAAACTGGTAGACTCGCATGCTGCCACTGTCAGACTAAAGCACCTGATAAAAGGCAAATCTTCTTATGTCAATCCATTGACGGCAGCCCTCAGCCAGACTCGATCTACACTCTCCAGTCAACTTAAGGATATTTAATGGACGTCGGTGTGAGGTGGCGGGAAAACCCGGATTGGATTTCTATTCCAGGGATCATCAGTCTTTACAGCAATCTCTATTATAGCAGGTTTTTAGGCTGCTAACTCACTGCGCTTTCAGCTAACTGCTAAATGTGTTGACCACGACTTGTGATGACGTAAGTTTCATAATGATTGTCGTCACTCGTCTACTTAAATCAACAAGCAAACAGTACACAATATTTGTTTGTAAATGACCTACTTCTAACTTACCTGTGCTGGAACAATGAGGTTAAAAAATGTATACCTGTAAAATGATGATGATGATGATAGTGATAATAATGATTATTATTAGCTGTAGTATTGTTGTTGTCATTATAAAAGTATATATGTTTATAACTCATTTATAAAATAATAATAATAATAATAGTAATAATAATAATAATCAGAAGAAGAATAAAAAGAACACATTCACATTATTATTATTAATGATTAAATCACAATAAATGTATGTTGTATACACATTTATATGAAAATACTTAATCTTAAGTAATATATAATAATAAAATTAATTATTTATTGTAAAAATAAATATGAATAATTATGATAATAATCATAACTATTATTCATTCATTCATTCATTCATTCATTCATTCATTCATTCATTCATTCATTCATTCATTCATTCATTTCCCTTTAGTTTTGTCCCTTTATTTATCAGGGGTCTCCACAGCGGAACTTTATGTGCAAGCCATTACTGGGAAATGTTATTATTATTATCATTATTATTGTTTTCCCAGAGATGGGTTGCAGCTGGAATGGCATACGCTGCGTAAAAACTTGCTGGATAAGTTGGCGGTTCATTCCGCTGTGGCGACCCCGGAATAATAAAGGGACTAAGCCGACAAGACAATGAATGAATGAATTATTATTGTTAATATTATAGTCATGTAATGTCATGTCATTTTCATCCGCTTATCCGGGGCCGGGTTGCCGGGGCAGCAGTCTAATATATATATATATATATATATATATATATATATATATATATATATATATATATATAAATATATATATATATATATATATATATTATATATATATAGGGTAGATTTTCCAACAACAAAAAAACTGCTTGTTTGTAATTGTCAGAATTTTATTTAATTTATACATGATTTTTGTGTTTGTTTTGTTTTTTTATTTTTTTGTACTGCTATTATTATTTGCCTTTTATCATCCTGGCATTATATTGTTTGTTTTATTGTTATTTGTCTGTTGTTTAAAAAATATATTGATGTTTTAATTGATAAATGTTTCTTTACAGACCATAATAATAATAATAAAAAACTGAATGCAAAACAAACAATCGTCCTCCCAAAGATCATCATTTGACCTAAACAAAGACAAAATCACAATACACAGTGCTGAAAAACAAAACCATATCCAAACTATATGTTTATGAGCATTAATCTGTAATGCAGTTTGTATAACATTTAAATCAAGCTAAAAAGCGGCGCCGTGCGTTTGTTGACACGCTATTACGTGTTAATTCTGCGACAGGAAACGAATCAGTGAAGGACACGGTATGGACGAAACTGCCGAAAACACGTGAAAAAGATTATTACTATGCCTTGATGTACATTCAATGTAAGTAAATCCTCTAGTTGTAAAGAACAAAAGACGAATAGTTCTGATAAAGAGCTAATCTTTTGCGCCGTCGTAGAAAATAGCGTTTACGCAGCGGAAACACACGCAGTGTTTTTATTAACAGGAAGAGCTGCAGACAGCTTCAGTCTCAAACAAGACCATATAAGTTGTGTAACCGATGACCTTCATTTTAGCCTGGATTTATTTTTTTTTCTCTCTACAAGCGTTCAGGTTAGATCTGCCGGAATCTTTGCTATTCGTTGCTATGGCTAAAGTTGAGCGTAAAATACATGAGAAGTGTAATCTGTTTATAGTTACACGGCTGGCTGACTCCCATCAATAAGCAACAGTAACCAATGTAACAATGTGCAAGTATTGATGTTCTTTATTCATGAAATTTTCCTTTCAATTATAAGCAAAACAACCAGACTATATTAAAAATGCAATGAAAAGAAGGTCACAAAAATTACCATGCTTTTATCTGACATTTGTGGTATTTTAACGTGCATTAACCAGGTAAAACTGGTCTTATATGCGCACATTCGTTCAATGACAACATGTGACACGCTCCCTATATTGTTTACCCTGGTGCTTTGAATATTTGACTGAAATCACATGTAATTATCTACTAGTCTAGCTACAAAAAGTGTTACTGTAATGGGTATAATAGCTAAAAAAGTGTTACTGTAATGGGTAAAATGGCTAAAAAGTGTTACTGTAATGGGCATAATAGCTAAAAAGTGTTACTCCAATGGGTATAATAGCTAAAAAAGTATTACTGTAATGTCTATAATAGCTAAAAAAGTGTTATTGTAATGGGTATAATAGCTAAAAAAGTGTTACTGAAATGGTTATAATAGCTAAAAAAAAGTGTTACTGTAATGGGTATAAAAATGGAAAAAAAACATTTGTGTATTACTTAAATATGTAAATGTTCAGAGTAAACAAATGTTTCGAAGAATGTTGTCAAAAACAGCCATTGTGCTTTTGTAGTATTTTAATAATTCCTACTATGATGTCAGTGGATGCTATATGTCTTATGAATACCTTGTGTTGTGTTTAACAGAAGAAAAATATTTATTTAGAATGACTTAAACTTTTTTTTTTTTAAGTATTCGTTAAACTTTTCCCAAACCAGGCACTTGTAAAGTGGTAAATTTACAATGGTTTATGACTGATATGACTTTAGTTGTGTGCATAGTCCAGTCTTTGGCAAAGATCTGCTGAGGTGTAACAATACAAATGCTGTTTTTATTTACTACATTCCAGAGTGTGAAGACATGAATGTACTGCAGTCTTGATAGTAGCCATCATGACGACAGAGGCTGTGTCTTCAGGGGCTCGACCTCAGATCCCTGCTCCTGTGCAGAGAGACGGATACTACTGGTTACGCTCTTTCACTGCTGGAGGTGACTTTTCAAACACAGAATACTGATGTACTGAAATCTGTTTGTTCAACTGCAAGTATAGCAGAACTGAAGTTAATGGGATAGTTCACTCAAAAATAAAAATTCTGCCATTATTTACTAGGGATGGGATGATAACCGGTTTCAAGGTTTACTGCGGTTTGGAAATAGCAGGGTTTCAAAACCGCAACAATTTTCTGTTATGCCGTTTTAAATATTTTGTTTTTAATATTATTTCTATTAAAGTGAAACTAAAATACTTTTGTAATTAAAAAATTTTGTAAAATCATTCTGATTCTGGAAGATCATTCAGTGTTGTTGCACCAAAGCTCTGGAACTCTCCCACGCTCACTCCGCATTATCAATAACATTTCTAAGTTTATGTCTCTTCTTAACACACTTCTTTTCTGAATGTTATGACCATTAAGTTCAGTAGCTGTTGTTTCGGTTTCCACTTTGCTTTTTGTTGTCTTGTCTTTGTTACTTATTTTTGTTTGACTTTGTTATTGTGTTGTTCTCTTACTTTTGTTGTGAAGCGTTCTTGAGCACTGGAAAGGCACTGTATCAAATAAACATCATCATTATCAGTATTGTCATTATTAATATTAATGATAAAATAAAAAGTTTAATATTATTTTAGTTGATTTGTGTATGCAGTTGAACAACAACAGTGTTTTAACAGTTTAACAAAAACAGTTTTTTAACCAACAGAAATACATTTAATTTATTTTTATTAAATATGGTTTTATTCCTGTAACAAAGAAAGAAAAATTGGTTATTATTGCTTAACTTAATTTTATTATTATTGTTATTGCTTTGATTTATGAATTAGTTAATTTAATTATTATTATTATACGATTATTATTTGTAGTAGTAGTAGTATTTGTATTAGTAATGGTATTATTATTAGTAGTAGAAGTAGTAGTAGTAGTAGTAGTAATAGTATTGTTATTATTATTAATGTTGTTGCTATTATTATTATTAGTAGTAGTAGTAGTAGTTGCAGTATTATTATTATTATAGAAGTATTAGTATTATATATTATTAATATTTTTATTATTATTAGTAGTAGTAGTAGTAGTAGTAGTAGTAGTAGTAGTAGTGATAGAAATAGTAGTAGTAGTAGTAGTTGAAGAAATAGTAGTTGTAGTAGTAGCATTAGTATTAATATTATTATTATTTTTACGATTAGTAGTATTAGTAGTAGTAGTAGTAGTAGTAGAAATAGTAGTAGTAGTATTTGTATTATTATTATTAATATTTTTATTTATTATTATTATTATTAGTAGCAGTATTATTATTATTATTTTAGTAGTAGTCGTAGTAATTGTTGTTGTTGTAGTAGTAGTAGAAGTATTAGTATTATTTTTATTTTTATTATTATTGCTTTGATTTAAAAATTGATTGTAAATTTATAATTTTTTTTATCACAAAGGTGTTGCGGGATGCTGTGCCAAATCCACTATAGCGCCTCTTGATAGAGTGAAAATTTTGCTACAGGCTCAAAATCCTCATTACAAACACCTTGGTAAGTTAAGGTCCCAATATTTGCAGGTATTTTGCATAACTTGATTATTAGAGAACCTAAGGACTAGATAAAAGTTATTTTTAAAAAAAGTTATTGATGATCATATACATTGCATGTTTCTGCAGGAGTGTTTGCCACAATTAAGGCTGTGCCGAAAAAAGAGGGTTTCCTTGGACTCTATAAAGGAAATGGAGCTATGATGATCAGGATTTTCCCATATGGGGCCATACAGTTCATGGCTTTTGATAACTACAAAAAGGTGCCTTTAGTCATCATTTACTTACTCTTTTTTGGGAATAAGAAACTAAATGTGTACAATTTTAGTAGTGTGACAGTTGTTCAAATACTGTTGTTTTTCCAGTCCCACTTTAGCAGTTAGTCACATTGTATGGCACAAAATAATAAAAATAGGCAGTAATCGTTCACAATCTCCTAAAATAGTCTCAAGAGAAACACTAGTCATTTTCGAGATTTCATTTATTCTGCTAATTTATTTCAGTAAGCCAGTTTACAAGACTATTAAACAATGATTGTACTGGTCGTTTTAGGTGTTATTTTGGTATCAAAATCAGATGACCGTTGTTCAAAAACCATAACTTTGGCCATTAATAGACATTATTCAAAGACTGTGATCTAAACCGTTCTTTGAAGTTAAATACTTGGCTAAATTATTTTGGAGGTTTTGTCTATTCTGAAAATGTTTTAAATAAATGTATTTAATCATGCTAGAATCATGCTAACAATATGCTATTTTATGTTAGAATCATGTTAATCACGCTAATCAGCGATATATTAGCGTTTTAATTTATGTTGCTTCCGTAATGTAATTTGTATTTATATAGCGCATTTATTATGTATGGCCAACCAACCTGATACTTTTTAAAACTAAATAAACAATTTCAAACAGGCTTTCTCAAGCCACCATAGTTTGTCCTCAAACTTTAATTTCTAGTTAAAAGACTGTCATCTAAACCATCCTTTCAAGTAAATTACTAAATTATTTTGAAGGTTTTGTCTATTCTAAAAATGTATTAAAGAATTTTTAAAATCATGCTAATTCATTCTGCAATCACGCTAATTTGTGATAGAATTGTGCTAACTACATGCTAATTCATGCTTTATAATATAATGTAATTATTTATTACTTATTAAATTATTTTGCTTTTAGCCAACTTGATTTCTGCATATTTTGTCCTAAAAACTTCAATACCTAGTTCAAAGACTGTCATGTAAAAAGTCCTTTCAGGTAAAATACGAGGCTAAATTATTCTATAGGTTTTGTCTATTTTGAAAATATATTAAATCTTGTATTTAATCATGCTAACAACATGCTATTTTATGTTAGAATCATGCTAATTTATGCTGCAATCCCGCTAATCAATGATATAATTGTGCTAATGACATGCTAATTCATGCTTTATAATATAATTTAATAAGCGTTTTAATTTATTTTGCTTTTAGCTAACTTGATTTCTATTTCCAACATGTTTTTTTAAGCCACCATAGTTTGTCTACATTTTAATATCTAGTTCAAAGACTGTCATCTAAACCGTCCTTTCAAGTTAAATACTAGGCTGAATTATTTTGGAGGTTTTGTCTATTCTGAAAATATATTAAATAATTTTTTAACATGCTAACAACATCCTAATTTATCCTAGAGTCATGCTAACAACATGCTAATTTAGGTTAGAATCATGATCATGTGTGCTAGAATCATGCTAACATGCTAATTTGTTTTGGAAACATGCACAGTTGGCTAATTCATGCCAGAATCATGCTAATTCATGTTACAGTCATGCTAATCCATGATAAAATTGTGCTAACAACATGCTAATTTATGCTTTATAATGTAAAGTAATATGTATTTTATTTTAATTTGCTTTTAACCAACTTTTTAAAACTTTTTCAAACTAAATAAACTATTTCCAACAGGCTTTCCCAAGCCACCATAGTTTGTCCTCAAACTTCAAAGACTGTCATCTAAACCGTCCTTTCAGGTTAAATACTAGGCTAATTTTTTGGAGGTTTTGTCTATTCTGAAAATGTATTAAATAATGTATTTAATCATGCTAACAACATCCTAATTTATGCTAGAGTCATGCTTACAACACCATGCTAATTTAGGTTAGAATCATGATAATTTGAGCTAGAATCATGCTAACGACATGATAAATTATTTTGGAAACATGCCAACAGAATGCTAATCCATGATAGAATTGTGCTAACAACATGCAAATTTTTGCTTTATAATATAATGTAATATGTGTTTTAAATAATTTTTTCTTTTAACCAACTTGGTACTTTTTTAAACTAAATAAACTATTTCCAACAGGCTTTCTCAAGCCACCATAGTTTTTCCTCAAACTTTATTATCTAGTTCAAAGACCTAAACCGTCCTTTCAAGTAAATTACTAGGCTAAATTATTTTGGAGGTTTTGTCTATTCTGAAAATTGAATTAAATGATTTGGTTTTTAAAAAATCACAGATTTATTTTAGAGGTAGTTTGTTGCTATTTTATTGCTATTTTATGCTGTTTTATTTTTATTTAGTTTATTTTTGGTGTCAACTTTTTTCAGTGATATTCTCATTAAATACGTCTGTAAAGATACTTTTAAATCAGTTATATCTGATGCTTACATACCATTAACCTCACATTTCCTGGAAAACTACAGGTTTAAAATAGCTTTGCCCAAATGAACATTATTACAATAAACCCAATTGAATGTTGTTTTCTAGATTATATTATGCTTGTAATAAGCTGCTTCTGCTGTACTTTCAGTTTCTCCACACAAAAGTTGGAATATCTGGGCATGTTCATCGGCTTATGGCAGGATCTATGGCAGGTTTGTGATTTTTTTATTTTTTTTTCACCCAAAGTCCTTTCAACCATAGACCTACATGCATAAATGCCTTGTTAGCAGCTGTTTTTCCACTTGAACTTTCCACCATATTGGAACAAAGTCAGTCTGTGAACCCTCATGATTAAAATGACTGTAATCAAAATTCTAAACGTACGATGATTACATCTGCAATATACTTGTGCTAACATTGACTGCTCATAGACTTTTGCTACAGTAACAGAGTACAACACAAAATGTCTTAGCTAACATGTCATTCAAGCATTCATAAGTTATAACAATAATATTGAATGGTATGCTCAAACGACACATTCTCACATGTGAAAGGTTGGCCCATTTCTGCAGTAATGTAAATGTTTACAACCTGAGGCTGTGCAGTGTTGTCATTCTTAAAAAATGTATTGTATTAAGTGAGTTTTAATGTGCTTACTTGTGTACTGTTCTAGTAGTGAAGTCAAGCTGAAAATTCTAAACAGAAGTGCACTTGGATGAAGCACTTAGACAAATTGACAAATTTAATTACTCGCCCTCAACACGTTTTAATTCAACTCCTATTTGATTTTCTTTCTTTCACACAAGTTTAGAACCACATAAATGTAAGTAAAAGGTGTGGAAATGTACATTTTTTGGTAGAATGGTAATGACTCACTCAACTCATAATTCAATATGATTTACAGTGTGATACTGTTCTCGCGATATGACTATTCTAACAAAATAAGTAAAACATTTAGCACTTAATATCCTAGATAAGGCCAGTTAAAAAATGAACACTTATTATTTCTCAAATGCTGCACATTTCTTTGTAAAACAAACATATATTTGATCAAATAAAACTAAAACGCAATTTTATAACTAATTCCAAATTTTGAAAATAAATATATTATTACAAATAAAATATTCATTCATTCATTTTCTTTTCAGCTTAAGCCTAGTTCACACTACAGGATTTTAAACATCAGCAGATCGCTGTGCTGTTCACACTACATGACTTGACTTTGTGTCTTTTAATCTCTGTGGTGTTCACACTACGCAACACTCTGTGAACGATCCACAAGAGGGGGGTCACACACTACATGATCTGACAACATCTCATTCCCCATCAGCTCATTTAAGCTACCAAACCACAGCCAATGAAATTTTGAGGGAGGAGTCGTCAGAAAAAAGCTGAACACTATTGGCTGCTTGTGTGCTGATGACATCACTGACAGCGTTTCAAGCTTTGGAGAAAGCATTTAAAAACATCGTCAAATCAGCTGATTTATAAGCGGATTAATCACTCATCTGCAAGGTTCGAGTGGATAGATACACAGAGAGTTTTTAATTTTTGTAATTTTATAACTCTTTGAAATAAAACTAACATATTTAAAACACCCTGCCGTTTTCTAACTATAAGTGTATTTCTTTCTGACATTGTTATTTTTTTTATTACAAAACAGTAAAGAACTGAGTATTTCTGCCTTAAATTACCATATTGGTCAAAATGACTGCATGCATGTCTGATACTTTTCACTGACTTTAAATATGTTTGCATTTTCTTGCCTAGCAACTTCCTGCTAACATAAACAAAACTTTCTGATGGCAAAAACATCAATTTACCTCAGATATCTTTCAAAACAGCATATTCTGTGCTGAATAGCTCCTGTTTGAAAGTGAAAATGAAAGCCAAGACCTTTAGGTGTTTTAGTATCTTAACTTCATGTTTATAGGCTGTATTGCCAAAAAATATTATATTTTTAGGGTAATGGTGTCATTAAATATGATGCCAGACATTCAAAGCTTAATTTTAATATCTCAATAATAGCTTTGAATGTAAATATGTTGTGACAATATGGCGTTTTATATGAGAACGGTCAGAATGAGCAGTATGGTAATTTTAATAGTTACAGAGTTCTAGTTCCACTGTTAATATAGCCTACTCTCGTGTCTGTGCTAACGCAGAATGAAGCGAGTGCGCTGATGCCCATTCCCATTCTGACTAATCACAGATGTTTCTGCTGAGCTCCTGAACACACAGGCATTCAGCTCATGCTGATATGCTCTCTCATTGGCTGTAGCTCGTCACTACATCTGACCACACGTGGGGTTGAGTCGGCCGACTGCTCTGAAATATTTAGCATGCTGAATGTTGGATTTTCATCTGCGAGGTGTCGGCGACGCGTCAGCGAGCCTCGTTAATGCGTTGTTCAGTAGTTCACACATAAAGAGCGGCGAGCACCCGCAGATTTCTTCCCGATCACAGCCCGATCTGTCGGCGAGCTCGTTAACTTCCAAATCGGGCTCAAATCAGGCTTAAAATCCTCTAGTGTGAACTAGGCATTAGTGCCTTTATCAATCAGGGTTCGCCACTGTGGAATGAACTGGCAACTCATCCAGCATATGTTTTATGCAGCAGATGCCCTTCCAGCAGCAACCCATCACTGGGAAACACCCATACACACTCACTCACACATACAATCATACACTACAGCCAATTTAGTTTATTCAATTCACCTAAAGCATGTCTTTGGACTGGGGGGGAAACCAGAGGAGAACATGGGGAGAACATACAAACTCCACACAGAAATGCCAACTGACCCAGCTGGGGCAGACCAGGGACCTTCTTGCTGTGACGTGATTGTGCTACCCACTGCAAAACCGTGCTGCCCAGCCTTATTCCAAAATGTATTAAATTAGTTTATTCCCTCAAAATTCTACACACAATACAACATGATTTCATGTGAAAAAAAGATTTTTTGAAATTGTTGCAAATTTATTAAAGATAAAAGAGCTGAAAAATCAAGTATTTACAGCCTTTGCTCAATACTTTGTTGATGCAATTTTGGCAGCAATTACAGTCTCAAATATGATGAATATGCCGAAATCATCTGCTAGTCTGCCAGAGTCAGCTGAGGTGAAGTAAAGGCGACAGCGAGACCTAGCTGTCAATCAAGTGGCCACGCCCTTAATTATGCAAACTTAATATAACCTAATGTAAAGGAAACTGATCAGTTATAAAAAAATTCACCCCCTCACAGTTGTCATGAAGGATAATATTAGCTTTATGAACGAAAATCGTTCTTTGTACCAGGCTGTAAACACTGTAAATTGCTGTAAATGTGGCCATTCTAACAGTGGGCTCAATTGAAATTTGCTCTATTATGGAGCCAGGACTAGCGGATTTTCGATTAATTGCAGTTTCAGTTACTTCCGTATTGGCCTCCAAGGGAGAGTGGGAGGTTGCCGCTTGGTGCAATGTCTTTAGCTGTAATAGTAGTAGTAGTAGTAGTAAACTTTATTGTCCTTTACAGGAAACTTGTTATGGGCATCACCATATTGCTGCTGACATTCCATAAGAACAAGCAATAAAAACAATACAAGCAGTTACTAAATTTATAATGCTGATTAAAATAGACTCTTGTTAAATAAACCTATTGAAACGGGTACAAAGGATTTCTTATAACAGGTTAACATACACTTTGGGACTTTGTATCTTCTACCAGAGGGAAGCAGTTCATACTGTGAAAACAAAAAATGGGTTTGATCCTTCATAATCCTTTCCACCTGATTGAGGACACAATTCTCATATAAATCTTGAGGATTAAAATAATTATAATTATTATATTAAAAATATCTGCTTTCTATTTCCTCTGCAGGGATGACTGCGGTTATTTGCACCTATCCACTGGATGTTATCCGAGCTCGCTTGGCATTTCAGGTGACAGGACACCATCGGTACTCCGGCATAAGACATGCCTTTCAGACAATTTACCATAAGGTATTAGGGATACAAACGAGTATAATTAAGAAAAAATCTGAGAATTCTTTGCTTTTAATGACAGTGTTTTTAATCCTTAAAGGAAGGAGGAATCTCTGGTTTTTACCGTGGTCTGATACCCACAATCATTGGCATGGCTCCATATGCAGGTAACTTTCTTGTATGCGATTTTCTAGTATAAACATTTGCTTCACTGTAAAAAATGCTGGGTTTCACATAATCAATTTGTGTTGGGACAACATAAAAAAAATTAAGTTAACTTATTATTTTTTACAAATTTAAATGGATTGAACATAAAACAATTAAGCTGTCCCCTCAAAAACTCAAGAATGGAGGGTTTTAAATCAGGATTCCACACAATTCATTCATGTTGTCCCAACACAAATCAATTCAATTAACTTAACACATTTAAATAGATTCACTGTTTCTCTGTGTTCCAGGCTTTTCTTTTTTCACATTTGGTACACTGAAGACTTTGGGACTCACTCACTTTCCAGAGCAATTGGGAAAACCGTCTCTTGACAACCCTGATGTTTTAGTGCTGAAGACTCAAGTCAATCTGTTGTGTGGTGGAGTTGCTGGAGCGATTGCTCAAACTATATCGTATGTTTCTCTGGTTTGTTAAGGATTGTTTGTAGCTTTCTAGTTTTTACATAAAGTTTGAAACAATACTGTTCCATGTATTTATGACTACTATTTATGGCAAAATACGTTGAGATGTGCACAGGCTCATGCTGGATTTATACTTTTGCCTGGCGCCACATCGCCGACCTCCGCTGACTGCATGCTCACCTCATGAAATGGACGAGGCTTTTATACTAGACGCGCTCGCCATTGTGATATTCTTTAAAGTGACAAAGGGCGGTCAAAAGACACCAACTGTACAATCAGTCAGATAAACAGAGAAGTTTCCGGAACTACATCATATCATTACTACCATTCAAGATGTTTTTATCAAACTTTGATGCATCACTTGCTTTTGTTAGGACAGTTTTACCTATTAAAGTTTATTAAAATATTATTGACAACAGAACATGGGTTGCTCTACAAACATATGTTTTATTATGGCAAGAATAAAAGCAAAAAAAAGTCTACTTACTAAAAAATACAGATGGTTTTTTTTTTTTTTTATTTAGCCCACTTCACAATTTACACATTGCTGTCTGGCTAGTTTCTGTCCTCTTTTTATGCTAAAAGAGCAATAATAGTCCAACATGCCTGACCATTATCACCAATAAAGCCTAGAAAACCATTAGTATATTGTAAACCAATAGGTTCAAATATTCATTTCCTGTTATCAAAGAAATAATTTGTTCATTAATTATAGTTTTGTAATTATTAAATTGTTTAAATTTTAAATTGTAATAAATACATCAGTGTAAAACCTGTAAACGATGGAAAAACAATTTTTTTTGTCTGGGTCTCCACTCTTGTCACGGCCTCTTTTGGCTTTAACAAACTTATCCCTCAGGTTTTTCCAAACTTTTCAACAAAAACCTTTCCCATGGCTGTTGCAATTTCTAGCCAAGAATTATTGATCTGGTTATCTCTATAATCACTGATCATAAAGATGTGTGTACAGTCTTACCTGTTTTAGACAAAATCTAAACGGGACGCTGTACGAACTGTGTACGCTCGAGTCTCAAAAAAAATAATGCACTCCGCCAGCCGAAATCATGTCGCACACACTCCAAGTGAACTTTCGCAAACACATCAATGACATCACATTCGCCGCTCACACTCAAGCGAACTAGCGGTTGAGTCGAGTATAAACCAGGCTTAATTAAGAGCTAAAAGCAAATCTAGTGAAATATGTAAACTTTGGTCTGTTTTAATTTTGTGTTTCACAAGATTAAGTTCAATAATCCTAAAACTTCAGATTAAAATGCACCAATTAGCCAATTAATTTATTATTTAAACCAATTACCTATTATCTATACGTCACTTCTAGAGTTTCAAATCATGTTTTATTATTATTATTTTAAATGGAGATTTTGATTCTTTCTTGATTCGGAAAGTAACATTACAGTATAAAGCACAAGTAGTCTTATCTAATTACATATTGTTTTATTATTATATTATTTCTGTGCCACATACATTTAAATGACAGAAATAATGGGGTAAAAGGTAATAGATTTGGTATTAACAATTATATTTACTCCGCTTCATATAGTTTTAAAAGCAAAGTAATCACAAAATACAAAGACTATGATAAAAAATAGGGAGTGCTACTGTTGGAGGGAATTATAGAGAATTATGTCTATGTTAGTGATCAAAATTAAAGTATCTTTACATACATATGTATTGTGACAGGCTTTCTTATGCCAGGAGGATTTTTTTTTAGTGTTTGCCAGTGAAAGAGATTCAATCACAAATGCTGATTAATCCAATACAAAAATTAGGGGAAAAGGTGTCTTTTATGAATGAGATGCAAAAAAACCTAGTAAATTTTTTTTTTCTTTTATGTTTACCTTCTTAAATCATTAACAGGCAATATTTTTTGTTTTGTAACAAAAACTTATATTGCTCATCTGTTTTTTTATTTATTTAGTTATTTTAATTTGCTCTGTGATTTCTTTTACCAGTGTGGGTTGCATATAATGCTGCTTAAGTAATATATTATGTCATTTTTATGCACAGGTATCCTTTAGATGTTGCCCGGAGGAGAATGCAGTTGGGTGCATCATTGCCTGATCATGACAAATGTTGGTGAGTGTCATTTCATTTAGATTCCGAATTTTTTGTTAAGCTTGAGTGCACACTGTATGATTTACAATAGTCCTTTAGGATTTCCAACTACAGTATTAGGTGTGAGAATGAAACGCATTAAAAAAAGCTTTTGTAAGGGAATCACTAACCTGTGATATGTTCATGACAGCCAGCCTCATTCACATGCATACATGAAATGGTGGCTAGAAAGGAAGACAATGAATAGTGAAAATTTTATAATATGTTTTGGATTTGGGGGTCGGCGTAAGGTCGATAAGTGAAGTTTATTTATAAACTAATTTCAAGAGGATCATATGCCTAAAGGGTCATGACACCCCCCACTTTTGGTTCAGGTCTACCTCAGAATTTTTACAAAAGATGCATTATAATAGGCATGGAGCTTCACGAGCAAAGTGCAAAAGTGGGCGTGGCCAGCAGGGGAGAAGGAGGGGAGCGAACAACTGTTGTCAGTCGACTCACAAAATGAGACACGAACCGTGAGGAGACACATGAATTTATAGTTTACAAAGTTAAAATGCAAAGAAATAAACAGTAATTTAATGTCCTGCTACATTTGTTATTCATAATTTCATATACACACAACCACAATTTATAACATTATAAAGATAAATGTGTTCATATAAACACTATAAATGGGGACTTTTCCCTCAATCCCCAGGTCTGAATGCAGACTCAGTGCAGCAGGTCTTTTGCCATTTCTATTTTAACCATTAGGCCTGTTGGTAATCTAGAGGATTTAGGCAAACACAGCAGCACGGCAATGTGTCTACATGTGAATGCCTGATAAAAGATAACATCCGCCATTCTCCAATTCTCGTATTGCTCTCCCAACAAAAATGATTGCTGGACACATACAGCTTTACTGTATCGGCCTTGACAGTATCGGCCTTGACAGCATATTGCATGAAAAACATGCAATAAACCCCGTGGATCATGGAAACAAACACATACAAGCCTTCTTGTACAGCTAAAGACTGTGTCGTAAGTCTGTGTCTCACAGCTTGGCACTGGCAGGTTTGCCTTGCCTTCGGAATCATGGGCTCTCATGAATAATTAAGAAGCCGGCTCTTCTTCTAGGATAAGAAAAGTCCGCTATGAATAACAATGAAAAACAGATGCGTCATCTTTGCACTTGCAGTTTTGTCGCCGATGCTGATCCACCCAAAAATCATTTTTAACCAGGAAGCTGAAATTAGCTGACAAAAGCTCAAAATTATCCAGTTTTTCCCACACTTAAAGCTAACAGGTGCTAACATTGTCTTAACTGATGCTCAACACACACAAATCTGTTAAAATCTCAAAAAAAGTACTCCAGGGTTTCGTGAACCTTAAAGTTTAAACTTTATTGTCTGTTCTGCTTGGCACAGAAAGGAAATTTGTTTTTAACACTGGTTTAAGACAATTGCATACATACAGCAATCACACAAGTACAACACTCATCAAGACAACAACACAAGTTAAAAGTTTAAGAACCAAATTAGCCTCTACAAACTACTGCAGATCATTTTTGGCAAAAACCACATTCACTTCAAACAGTGATCCGATTGAAAAACAATAACGCTTGTTGGGATTAGCGACTTTTTATAAGCATTTTTTCGTGCTTTTGGAATTCTAAACCTGCGTCCTCATGGTAACAATTCAAATGCTGAGTGAAGGAGATGTGTATTATCTGCTTTTTTTTTCCAAAAAGGAGTCAAATAAAATCTGCAGTAAAAGTTTTTTGTAACCAGTTGTCTTATTTGCCTGATTGATAATTTGCGAAACTATCTTCTTCTGTTTAAATGTTGTTACCAAACCAAGAAACAATATTAGATGTGAGGACACTCTCTATCAATAAAATATATGCCTTGTTTAAAGTCTGTGTACTAACATTTAAACTTCTCAACCTGCAAAGGAGACAGAGGCGCTGACTTGCCTTCTTATAAACAGCCTCTATATTACTATTAAAATTTAGTTTATTATCAATAATTGTGCCTAAATATTTAAAATTTGAGACCTGCTTTACTATTTGTCCATTTATGATGACTGCTTTATAAAGTCTAGCATCTACTGCTCTTGTTTGACTCCCCAGGCATAACTCTTTTGTTTTTCTCAATATTTAGGTGTAATGAACTTTCGCCAAACTAGTCTGTAATACTATTAATATATTTAAAATATAAGAAGCTATTTATTTCTTCCTGACAGAAAAAACAATGCTTGATCATCAGCGTATTTTATGAGTGTGAGATTGTCATCATTATTGCACTGCAGTTCATTAATACATATAGAAAATAAAACGGGATAATACACATCCCTGAGGTACCCTTATATTTAAAACAGAGCTGTCAGACATAACATGAATAACACAGACAAGTTGTGGTCGTTTTTTTTAAAAAACTCTGATTAATTTAATCAACCAACTACTTACTCCTATATTATGAAGACATTCTAAAAGAAGGTTAGGTTGAGCAGTATTAAAAGCTGGCCTATGCATAAGCAAGCTTATGATTGCTTGCAGGCGGTCCTGCATTATTCAGTTTGTGATTCACCAATCAGACAATTCCTAAGGCACTATAAATACCCTTACGTTCCATATAACAGCCATCTTTGTTTTAAAGAATCTCCCTTCCACCTCTACTCCTGATGGCTACCAGATGGTTGGCACGGTGGCCCAGTGGTTAGCATTGTTGCCACACAGCAAGAACGTCACTGGTTCTACACTTTACCAAGCCAGCCAACGTTTCTATGCAGAGTTTACACGCTCTCCCCGTGCTCACGTGGTTTTCCCCTGGGTTCCCTGGTTTCCTCCCATCGTCCAAAAACATGCAACTTAAGTTAACTGACTAATCCAAATCGGCACCATAAACATGCTGCTAGTAAGTAGTTATCTCTTAAGAGCAATCGCTATCTGTTCATTAGCTACTACAGCAGGGGAGTTCTCGAGATCTACCTGAGCTCAAACTCCCCTCTCGCCTTGCAAACGGGAGGGAGCCCTGGGCTTGATGATCTTATGAGCTCAGGACTCTCTCCCGGGACAGCATGCCAAACAAGCTTTATAATCAATCATCAGCTAAGTGTGAACTATTGAAATGTACCTGGAAAGTGCTAGAGAAATACTTTAGACTTTGGAAAAGGTAAAAGAACCCTGAATGAGTATGTAGGAAATGGACTTTCTTAGTCTCAAATGTTATTTTTGTTTATTTTCAACTCGTCTGTGATCACTAATATGATCTCCCTTTATATTTCTTTGAGCAGCAGCCTCACCAAAACCCTCAAACATGTGTACAGCCAGTATGGTGTAAAGAAAGGCCTGTACCGCGGCCTGTCCCTCAACTACATCCGCTGTGTCCCGTCACAAGCCGTTGCCTTCACAACCTACGAGTTCATGAAGCAAGTTCTTCATCTTAACTAAAGCAAACAGTGACTGAAGCTTTACAGAAATAAACCCACACGACCCCTGGCGAAATCCCAGCAGCCCTTTCTGCCATTCCAGAGGCGATATCTTACAGAACAGAAAAACATCTACACCTTCCATCACATGTTGAACTATATGCCTTAACTAATTACTCATATACAATAAGCGAACACACAGAATGATTACGTCTTTCACATATAAGCAGTAATGCTTTTAACTACGACTGATGATGTAATTTTTTTTTACGTCAAGAGCCTAAATTGAGAAATCGGTTTTGTTTGCTGAGTTTGATTTACATGTAGCTTCATATTTCAGTCACCTCAAGTCTTATTGACTGATTTGTGTCCGTTTTAATGATCGAGATCAACTTGTCGCTACGGTTTTGTTAATATAGCGAATGGAAGAAAGTGTGTATGTATAATTTCTATGCAGTGTTTAGTCACGTTCGCTTGCTGACGTTACTGTGGCTCATTTTCAATATCTGATAGATGCCTTACAGTTGGGATTCACAGTCTCTCTTATGAAAGAGAGCAATCATGTGAGAATGTTTGTGGTGATGGAAAAATCATAAGTCATGTTTATTAGTCTGTTAAATTATTGTTGACTGATTTGTGATGGGAACAAGTGGATCCCATGAATACAATAATGTAAAATAATAATAAAATTAATTACAATGACTTTCCATATCCATGTATCTTTCTATATATGTCAACAAAAATGTTTAATTCAGTCTGTTATGAATGTTATTCGGGAGTAGTGCATGTCATATGCATGGACTATATTACAATATTACCAGGCTAAGTTTCTAAAAAAATTGTCATTGTATATTTTTTTAATAGTCAGGAATATAAAATAATAATTACTTATCTTTTCAGAGGTTAAAATATTGATATTGTGTAGTCTAAAATATTATACTAACTGTCTGAAAACTAAAAGATACTCTAAGTCACACTCGGTCCGGGAGGGTTGGTGTCCTGCAAACATTAATTCCAACCACAATCAGACACACCTGGGCTACCTACCAGCTCTTACCAGGCTCTCTAGAAACATCCATGCAGGTGTGTGCCAGTTGGAGCTAAAATCTGCTGGACACCAGCCCTCCTGGATAGAGTTTGGACACCTCTGCTCTAAATTCAGTCTTTTTATTTGACGTTTGGTAGAATGTGATTGGTAGTTTACAGAATAAAGGTGATTTCATTCTGCTCAAACACAAAACTGTGAATCAGGAATCCTGGGAACTGCTTGCATGTTTGTATGTAGTAATTTGTTTTAAATAATCTGTTTTTTTATTATGTGTGGAAATGAGCACTTTAGTCCATTTTCTTTTCTAATCTAATTGTTTTTGCCATGTGGTGGCAGTGTTGAGTTTTTAAATCACGTTTTAGACGTGCTTTGCGTTTTTTCAAGGGGAATATTTACATATGTGTGTGTACATTCAACAGAGACTGATGATCATAGTTTTATAAGTTTTAGAAGAAAGCAGTATTGAAGGTTGTGATTCCATTATTGTAATTCAGGTTTCTTTGCACTAAATGTTAAATCAATAGAATAAGAGTCTTATAACCTGACTGAAAACAAGAACGTTTATCTTGCTTCTTTTGACAAATCACCTTCATTTAATGTGTTATGGCAATTAAATGATTATGCTATTTTTACATGACGAGGGAATATGTAATATAGAAATGGTAAATGACAATGTTTTGTACATGTAATTATTCTTTGAAGCATTAAAAATAAATATAAAGTTGTCTTGTGCTTTAGTTTATCTTTGTTGCGACTAACACATACTTTTAGTTTCTTCATTTTCATAATCTTTTTGGCTTCATCCTTTTTTTAATCAGGGGTCGCCGCAGCGGAATGAACCCCTAACTTTCCAACATTAGTTTTACACAGCGGATGTTCTTCCATCTGCAACCCATCACTATGAAACATCCATACACACTCATTCAGGCTTACATTTCGGACAATTTAGCTCACCCAATTTACCTGCATGTCTTTGGACTGTGGGGGAAACCGGAGACCCCGGAGAAAACCCAGGCAAAGGAAGAGAACATGCACACACCACACAGAACCAACTGACATTCCTGCTGTGAGGTGATTGTGCTATCCACTGCGCCATCGTGAAGCCCATTTAAAATTGATATTACAGTACTTCAGTATTCAATTATTCCAGTCGTCATTTGTCATCTGGTAGGATTTCCATAACATTTCCTCATTTGCTTGCCTGCTTATGCATTCACTATGGCACCCCTCACCATATTTGCATTTATTTCCTCTTATGTTTATAAGGTACTGTTGTTTGAAATTTTGTCTCATTTGACTGGAAAATATGTTAGGCTACAAATTAAACTCTAGTCTGAACATATGTCTATATGTCATAACATTATAACAATATGTAGTTTAATGGCCTTTAAAGTTACATACAAAAGCATTCAAAAGTATTGGAGTTAACATGTTATTCAGTTTATATGATTTATATTTACTTTTTTATTAAACAACAAAAGGAAACAAACTAAAAAGCCATGAAAATGAAATGACAAACTAATGAATATATAAACTGTAGGTGTTGTTTATAGAATATCATCCGAAAATGCCTTAATACTTTACATTACTGATCATTTGTAGTTGTTTTCAGAACTGTTTTAACACATTGTTAATAACAGTAAATGTTACTTGAGCACCAAGTAACGTGATTTGGCAACAGCCAAAAATATATTCAATACAATTGGATTCATCTTTATACAGTTGAAGTCAGAATTATTAGCCCCCTTCGAAATTTTTTCTTCTTTTTAAAATATTTTCCAAATGATGTTGAACAGAGCAAGGGAATTTTCACAGTATGTCTGATAATATTTTTTCTTCTGGAGAAAGTCTTATTTGTTTTATTTCGGCTACAATAAAAGCAGTTTTAATTTTTTTTAAACACCATTTTAGTGACAAAATTATTAGCCCTTTTAAGCTATATTTTTTCTTGATAGTCTACAGAACAAACCATCGTTATAGAATAACTTGCCTAATTACCCTAACCTGCCTAGTTAACCTGATTAACCTAGTTAAGCCTTTAAATGTCACTTTAAGCTGTATAGAAGTGTCTTGAAAATATCTAGTAAAATATTATTTACTGTCATCATGGCAAAGATAAAATAAATCAGTTATTAGAGATGAGTTATTAAAACTATTATGTTTAGAAATGTGTTGAAAAAATCTGCTCTCCATTAAATAGAAATTGGGGAAAAAATAAACAAGCAATCTAATAAGTTAGGGGGGCTAATAATTCTGACTTCAACTGTATATAGCGCTTTTACAATGTAGATTGTGTCAAAGCAGCTTAACGCAGAAGTTGTGGTAAACTGAAACTGTTTCAGTCTAGACCTCAGAGTTTGAGTTCAGTTTAGTTTAGTTCAGTGTGGTAAAATTTCACTACTGAAAGTTCAAACACTGAAGATCAAATCCATCAATGCGCAGCTCCACAATTCCCAAACCAAGCAAGCTAGTGGCGACAGTGGCCAGGAACAAAACTTCACCAGTTGATGAAAGTGAAAGAAAAAACCTCGAGAGAAACCAGGCTCAGTTGAGCACGACCATTTCTCCTCTGGCCAAACTTGAGCTGCTGTTGAGGTGCTGGAGGCTGGAGAACTCTGGACGTCCATCGTGGAGTAGCTGCAGGTGTGAGTGGGTCACCAGCGGGAGTTCAGGCTGGCCCACAGGATCAATCCATATTTCCATCATATGTGTCAAATTATAGATTTTCTCTTCTTTATTTGTGTGTGTGTGTCAGAAATCGTTAGTACAGATAGTACAGAGATCTGACAAATAGGAACGGACCACCCTTGAGCCATCATTCCATTCAGTTTGTGATCCGGATGTAAGTGGGTGTGGGCCAAATGGGCCAGAATAAAAGCAAACTGTGGCCCAGAATAGGGACAGTTTTGGTTCATTTGGTTGAATTCTGGCTGATTGATATGGCTTAATTGGCCCAGATCTAGCAAAAAGGAGCAGACCGCTCAGGTACCATCATTCAATGCGATACTGTGCATTGCTGGGAATTTTTAAACCTTCAGATTAATTTCAAATAGCCTAGTTATTTCATCCTAATACTGTCATATCCTAAGAAAGTATCAATGTAAGCTTATTTATTAAATTTTTCAAAGCAAAAAAAATCAATAATCATCTCAAATATATCTGTATATATCAACAAATCTGTTGACTTTTATCTTCTCCATCTTCAGGCCTTTGGCAAATGAGCATCAAAATATTTAAAACCATTAGTGTTTATAAAATAAACCTAACAGATGTGTTTTAATAGTAACAAAAAAGAGAAAAAAGAAAGAACGTAGCGAAACATTTGCAAAACTCTTTTTATACTTTATCTTCCTGTTAATGATGGTTAACATCGTCGGATACCACAAACACATGCTGCACGTACTAAAGAAACTCATTTGAGAAAACGAAGTGTGAAGTAAAAGTAATATACGACAAGAAGAGCATCTTTGAAAACTAGTTCCTCAATTACAAATTTATCTCCCAGATGTAGTTATAAAGTGTAAACATAAATCAAAAAGGTAAAAGAAATGCATGGCGACAGTCGAAGTTCTTCGTATAGTTTATATTTTGCATAACTCTCTGGGTTGTACTCTATCACACATCAAGATCTCATCTATAGTTTCCGCGTCTGTTTATCAGTGTGTGCGTGTGTGTGTGTGTGTGCGTGTGTGCGTGTGTGTGTGTGTGTGTGTGTGTGTGTGTTTGTGTGGCTGGAGTCAGTTGTGTGGCTTGTGGCTGGAGTCGGTTAGTTAAAATGGGAAAGAAAGAAGAGGAAATGCAGTGCGACTCTTGAAAAGCCCACTCACGTTCAGAGTTCATCTCCAGCTTGAAAATGCCCAGCTACACGGTGACTGTGGCCACTGGCACTCAGTGGTTTGCTGGCACCGATGATTATATTTATCTGACTCTGGTGGGCTCTGAGGGCTGCAGTGACAGGACCCTGCTGGATAAACCCCTCTACAACGACTTCGAGAGAGGAGCGGTAAGGAGCTTTTAACCACAGTATATAAACCCATACGGAAAATTAGTATCGTACTAACTTACAGTAGCTTTTGAACCAAGTACTTGGATTGATCTGTTGTAGTAATTATGTTTGGTGACAATACTATTTAATCTATAATGTATACCCTAATCAAATCACGTTAATGTTTTTGTTTTTTATGTAAAGAAATTATTATTTATGTTTGATAAAGGATAATGTTTTGTTACAGTATATTTAAATGAAAAATACTATGCTTTTTAAATTCAGAATTTCATGTTTATTGCAATGTGGCAACTGGAACCTAAGTGTGTATACGTTTCGTAACATATTTGAGCACTTTCTGAGTGAAAGTTTTAACGCTTTCTGAGTGAACTTGTCTTTCCCTAAAAATAAATAAAGTAAATACTATGATGTTTTTGAACCATACTATAGTAAAGTGTATTGTATTGTATATTTGATAGGCTATTATACCTCCTGACTCATGAACTGATTACTGAACATGAAGAATACTGAACAACACTGAAAAAAAGCATGTCTGCAAAATTGTTGCAAGCAATTTATTTGTGTTGAATGTAAACAAATTAAACTTACTAATGTTCAACTTCATTTTTTTGTCTAAATTCAGCCCAAATAAATTGTTTACAACCACTT